TGTGTACTCCAACAATATCATCGGAAGCATGTTTGTAGCTCGTGGTTGTGTGAATTTGTATTAGATACTATCTAGTAGTTATGATAGAATTCTGAAGTCTAAGTAATGTGTCCTTATGGAGTTGTACGTAGTTTCATTGACAGTTTCCTTAGATGCAGGAATTTGTGCGTTTTCGGGCTCTTTGCAAAAATTGAATATCTCATCAACGCAACAACTTTAGGATCTACGGTTTTCGCCGAAATTCACGAAAATGTTGGCTGTAAAAAAGTCCACTATGTTAGAAGAAATCTGAGATGGTCGATTGAGTAACATTTTACGATAATAGGTCGTGGCTTATCTTTAATGGCTCATAAATAAACGAAACAAGTTTTTAAAAGACAAACGTAACTTTTATACTAATATTTCGCTCTATACATACAGCATCAGCAGAGGGAGAAGAGAGAAAAGAAAAAAGAGTAACTAAAAAACATACATGTATTTATATACACAATTTTTTATTTATTTATTTATTTTTATAGTTATACGAATAGGCCTAGTAAGTACAATATAAAAATTAAATTTGTTTATATAGTAAATTTAATTGACGAAAAAGATTACATGATAATTGTTCAATTAGTGATGAAGATGATAATGGAAAAAAAACGGATTTAGATTCTTGGAACAGATTATTTAGTTTTATAAATTCATTATTATCAAGATGAGATGGTGCTAATGGTGAATGTTAAATACAATGATGATAAAGAAGATGTTGTAATTCTGTTAAATATTCAACAATAATCATAATATTATTTCAACTTTTCATGGCTAATATAGACAGCACAATCGAAATTTATGAATAACTTCACTGGACAGTTGATCATACTTATCAAATGACCTTGGTTGATATCTTATCACTGGTGATTAATTTCGATGGAAGTGAGTAATTTACTTTTTTATGATAAGTTTCTTATGTCGTATTAGGTAAAGTGTAAAAATTTCTTGTCATAAATTGTTTACATATATTTTCAAGTTGTGGTGTTGAATAAATAACTATTAAACTTTGAAATAAAAATGAAAATGATGCACATAACCAACCTAAACAGTATGTCATTGAATTTAAATGTCCCGTTAACCATGAAATAATTAAAAATATAAGACCAATAAATGCTGATAATATTACACTAGAAATATTTAAATAAATTTTTTTAACTATTTTAAAATCACGCATATTTTGTAAACGAATAATTGGTTTATTTAATAATGGTCGTCTAACAGAGACAACAATCCATCTATAAATGATACTAACAAGACAAATAGGTAAAATGTAAATAATTAAGAAACCGTAGGTAATAACTGGAAAATTGTGAAATGGTAAATGACAATAATAATCATTAGGTAAATATTCAATTGTATTTAATGTTAACAATGGTAATATGACAAGAAATCCTATTAACCATGTTAAAATACAGAGAAAAACATAAATAGAATAAGATTTTAAAAATTTTTTTTTATAAAATACTACACGAATAAGACGATAAAATGCTTGTAAACAGTAAGTATAATAAATTACAGATATAAATGAAAAACAAAAATAGGCAATAATTGTACACCATTGATTATTTTGTGAAATATTATATAGATTACCTCTTATACTTTGAATTCTCATATTTATTATTGTTAAACATGTAAATAGAATAGATAGTGTACTACTAAATGAAAGTAGTATGGGTATATTTTTAGAATAACGTCGATGACAATAGATTATACAAATTAATGTGCTTAATGAAAAAATAATTGTTAAACTAATATTCAATAAAATAATAATATCAATCAATACTTTTAGTTTTTTTCTAGAATAGTTATTTTTAAGAATATCGGTCTCCATATTACTTGATTTTTGCCACTACATACTGAAAAAAAAAATTATATTTTTTATTGACATATATCATCATTTAGACACATTTTAAAGTGTTTTTCCCTGAAGGTATAATTTTTCTATTTATTCATTTTACACTTCTACATTCTTTTAATTTTTTTTTAATATATAATTGAATAAAAAGATGAAAAATATTTTCTCTTAAATTAGATAGTCAATTTCACATCGTATCACATCAATGATGATAAAAAAAACGTGAGCATAAAACTATTTATTTTTAATAAAATACATCATTTTCAGATTTTAAAAGGATAAAACACAAGAATTTTTTCAAATAATACTTTTCACTATTTCAATTAAATTTAATAAGAAAAGTTATTCGTATAGCATCTGGTACGAACTAGAGAATTAAATAGAGTTTACATTTTGGAAAAAAATATATGAAGATGTGAAAAATGTGTGTTTAGTTTATTTCTAGATTCGTTTCTAGTTAAAAGAAATGAGAATGACAGTTTTAAACGACTCATTACCAGATTGCAAGCTAATTGTCTTTTTCTATGTTTTTCAATTTTCCATTTTGTAAGTCAATTAATCAAGAAAAAAATCAGGTTCTTTCACCGTCTATACAAGCGAGAAAAGTCGTTCGAGGGATGCGGCTAGTACTCGATAATAAGCCCTTGCCAAGGGCTTGATCCCTCGAAAAACGAGGCTTCCGACCCTCGATATAAGAGTTGGAGAGGTTATCGGTTTCGTGCTCTCGGGTTTCAGATAGCGCAAGTGTCGAAAAATAATCTAGTATCGCCCGATTCATCTAGTTTATTAGGTTTTTACTTTATCGCAACTATTGCGTAGCGACAGTAGAAATCTAGTAATCGGGTGGCTGCTAAATTTGTTCTAGTTGCAACTATCGATTTATCGGCCGATAATGGATCGATTTAACTGTTGCTAGTTATATATGCAGACACATCTAGTTAAAAGCCTCTTTCCAACTAGTAATCTGGATGGCAACTAGTCGTGTATCGTCCAATTATAGTCGAAATGTATCTGGATTTTTTCAATAGGTGATGTTTGGTTGGGAGGTAGTGAGTCATCGAGAATAATTCTGAGCTGTCGAACAGAGATGCTCGGGACTTTCGAGCCCTTGTCGTCCGGGGATGTGATGAGAGTTCGGAGGTCTTTTCATCTACTTAGGTTCCGAACATTTCTGTTCGACGGCTAGGCTTTTTCTCGAGGGCGGCTACCTATCTGAAATCCTAGTGCTCGAAATTGATAACCCCTCGAACGGTTATATCGAGGATCCGAAGTCTCATTTTTAGAGGGATCGAGTCCTGACCGAGGGCTCATCGGCGTGTTTCCGATTGCTTGAAATCCCCCTCGAACAAGTGGTTGGGCGCCACCTCGATTGAGAACAATTTATACACTTATTCGGGAAGGAGAACCTTTGCGAACTGTGAGTTCTCGAAGGAGAACAATTAGATATGCATGATTATTGTTTTTATCATTCTTCAAAAAGAGGAGATGCATTAAGAACACGAAATATTAATGGAGGTATAGACAAAGTAATTCAACAATAAATATTCAAGCGTCAGTGTCTGACCGTTCGTCTTTTAAACGGCCATATTATAAACTAACAACTTGCCTAGTATACAGATGCATCACAGATCAGTCAATCAAGAGATTGCGAACTGGCCAGATCAGAATCTCTTGTTTGACTGATTCGTGATGCATCTGTAGAGACCAGTTTTGAAGACCCTTTCAGAAACTACAGTTCCATATAATCAGAGTTCCAGATAACTGGTTGAATCGAAGCATTATTATGGAAAAGGTAAACTGATTATTGTGCTGTGATTATTGATTTTTGTTCTAATTTGGGGCATAGAACAACACAGTTGTCCTACTGTTATGTTTGTTCTATAAAGTTCTTTAAACTAACTCAATCTAAAATTAATTTTTGTCAAACTTATTGTAACGAGTTTGTGAATAAATTGAGGTCATAACAAATCTCAATATGTACCATATTCATGTTTGTTTTTATCTGATTCTCTGTCGTATACCCATATGTGTTTAGAGCATTACTTTACAGTAACATTTCACACATCTACTCAGATTATTTGATTCTCTGATTTGTTCTCTATATCTGTATACGTGTGTTCACGTTTGAATATTCTCTATATATGGTGTACATCAGTTCTAACTAGCAGAGAAACAGACAATGTGCCAAACTTTCTCATTAAAAATGTCATTAGTTAAGCTACCGAGAGAGAGAACTGATTTCCTTACGAGAGGCGGCGATATTTGCTTTCGTTTCTTATGCTACTTTTCAATGCTAAAGAGTTTTAAAAATATTAATGAACTAAAAAAAAAACGTCCTAGGCAGAAAGTCGAAAAAAAGAACGACGTGGATAGTGACTGAACCTGTGATCGCTCATTTCACGAGTAAATGTCTTTAATCACTAGACCAAGTACGTCAATATTGAAAGTACGCTCGTTCTATTTATATCTGTTAAAATATCTTTACAGAAAATATTACCTTGAAAAAAAATTAAAATTTACTTTTCACGGAACTAAAACTTTTGAAACGTTAATTTCAATTTCATTCGACAGCTCCCATAGAGCTTTGCAAGAAAAGTCTTTTTTCGAGGCTTCCAAAAATTGAAAATCAACGGAAACTTTCAGATCATATATCATTCGACTCATTTGACGCTGACTCTGAACATAATACTTTTATTGCATAAAAAGTGAGGTCTGGTGGAGACAATTGAGAATTACGGGCAGAATTCTGATTTTTTTCGCTTCTGATTTAGCAGACGTGAAATTTCTCAGCAATGGAGAAGAATTTCAAAAAAAACGAGTTATGCTTTTGTAGTACGAATAAAGACCGACCGAATGGCGCAAGAATGAACGTTCTCTATTTTACAAAAAAAACTAGATAGCTTTTTCCGACGAGGTCTCTAGTCGGAGATATCTTTGAAGATGAATTTTTCGTGCAATGTCCTTACATATGGGAAGCATCAAAAACACATTTTCTAATTCAATTTTCAACGCTGAATTAGAAAAAAAGCTGTTTGAGAGTTTCAAAATAAAANTCCTGTATTATGAATTTTTCGACGCGCAAACGTGAACTGGGAAGGCTAAAAAGATGATATTGGTGATCAGCTTCAAATTCTTAATCGAATCATATATAAAGAAGCTAAAAATAAAATAGTACTTGATTTTAAATTACGTGCGCTTTAAATCCTTTTTAATATTTTTCGTCAAAACTATCAGTGCTATTTCTGCAAGAACAACTGCGAACTAATCTAGTTTTACACAAATTTTTAAATGTCATACTTCAGTTTGTAGTACCGACTTGTTTTAGCAGAAATAATACTGATATACTTTCGAAGGAAAACATTAAA